TATTCATTTTCTGCAATAACTTCTCCTTTTAAAAGGGAGTCATCAAACTGAGCACTTTGAAGCTGTTTGTCTGAATGGTGGATAAAGGGTAATTTAGCCCAGAGAGCAGGACCCCACAGCCTCAGAGGAGGCTGCAGAGAGATCAGATGTATCACCCCAGCTACAGCAGTGGAAGCTCCTCCTCTCTGGTCCTGTTTAGAGCTGTCCTTTTGCCTTCCTAAGGGCAGCCTCTGAATAAGTACCTCTGGCATTCAGGCGGGATTAGCACTACCTGCTCTGCTCTGTCCCAGTCTATTTTACCTGGATTTTTTCCCATTCCTGTTTCTTTTGGCAGAAAAACTGAACACCTTCAGCTCAAGTATACAAGTGTTATTTCCTTGATTTTTAAAAAATCATTTCTAGTCTTGTCTTCACACACCTGACCCTTAAAATTCAACAGGCAACCTCAGGCACAAAAACCAACTGTGCCAAGAACACTGTGACTACTCCAGCAGCAAACTGTTCTGTGTGAGATGTACAGGAACTGGTTTTCCTGTGTCCTGCACTAGGAATGTTTTTTGTGGGGTGTTTTAACTGAGAAATGCCATGTGTTCAAAGCCCACCCGTGCTACTCCACCTTGCTAGTAGGAAGGCAGTGTCTTACCCATGGCCCTTAGGGCTAGCAGTAAAATGCAGATCAGTTCAGCCAGTGCAGTAGTTCCTTCCCTGGACCCAGCAGAAGGGAGTTAAAACACTAAATAACCACTTAAATGCTGATTATCTTTTAACAAAATGTTGACATGTTTGGACATTGAAGCCTGAATTCATATGCATATATCACCAGTATTTACTTTAGCAGAAACAACCATTCCCACATGACTGAGAAAATGCCATAAATAGAAAATGACTCCCAGTCCCCTTTGTCTTGTTCATCAACCTGACCTCAAGCAAGTGTCAAGAGATTTCAGAAAACAGTGCAGTGAGGGTTAGGAGGGTGCAACATATCCAATACACTACTGGATGACTGAACATGTCTGAAAATAAGGTTTAGAAGTTCTTCTCTAACCACAAGTCTCGAACTGCAGGTCAGCATTCCTTACAGGCAAAACATCGGCATCCTTCAACCTCATCTGAGATACCAGGTGCTTATCTTAATCTACAGAGAACAGTTTCATCAAAGTTGTTTCAATATACATGAGTTTAAAGTATTCTGTATCTAGATGAATACATCAGGTAATGTGCAGAATAACTCAGATAGATACAGGAATGTAGTGGAAGAAGGTAACTCATGACTGGTGGATCTATACCAAGCATACCCATCAAATGCTCAACTACTCTCAGGGAAGCACCTTTCTGCATGCTCCTAGTAGCCTAATATTTCAGCCCATGCTGGAGTTTCCTGTTTTGTTTGAACTTTTCACTATTCTTTAACAAAATATCTGAGCTATCTGCACGTATTTTATTCTGTTGAGATCATCAGAGAGAAAATTAAAAGAGCAACTCAACCTGTCTGAAACTATTGAATGCTGGACTGGTAATTCCAGAAAGCAACCACAGGAGGTGCCTTCTTCTATGTCTTCACCAATTTCCTCGAGGAGGAGCTGGATGCTCACAGTCCTTGCCTCCGCAGCAGCTCCTTCCGCAATGAGAACACCAACCCTTACACATCCAGATGTGGCAATTCTGGCAGTTTTTATGGAGTTCCAGGAGCTGAGAGGCACTGGATCAGTGCTCAGGTAGCTGTCATCCATCAAGAGCCATGGCTCGCAGGAGGTGGGACTGGCAGCGTAGCAGCTGGCACGGAGCAGTCTCTGAGTCGTTCAGTCACAGCTTCAGCTGCCAGAACCAGCCACTGTGCTGGAGGTGTCCTTATCATTCTAGAAATGGCTGGCAATTAAGGTGAGATCTCATTGTGCTGATGTTCAGCCAAGGCAGGAAGAAATGGACCTCTCCCTGACAAGTTTATCAGTCAAGCAGGCTACATAAACAAGCAAAATGGATGATGGAAAATATGAAAAGGTCTATTTTAGCATTTCTTAACATTTTCTCTCCTGTGCACCCCTATGATCAGCTAATTAAAGATCAGGGACCACACAACTGGGAGCAACATGCCTTCTCCTCCACTTTTCTCAAACAATAGTGCCATGTGTATTTACCAGATGAGAGATGGTCCCCCAAGACCAGATCAGCTTTCAATAGCTGCCTTTCAAAGCTGCACCCATTTCAGAATCTGCTTCTCTCTCCTTCTCCCAAGGAAAATGGTTGCCCAAGGTTCATGCCTCTGGTTCACAAGGGGGTTTTCTCTGGCTGGAGCATGCTCTCCCATTCATTTTCTGGGTCATTACTTTTCCTCTTTCTTGACAGATATATTAATTTTGACAGATTTTTTCGTACTTGTTGTTCTGTAATCCATCAGAAATAAGTTATGTGCTTCTGATTATGGTGGAAAATGTAGTTTTATTTTCAGTCTGAATTCAAGCAGTGGTAATGGGGATGATGTGCCACAGAAATGAATGCTTAACTCTGTGTGTCAGTGAGCAAGTTTGTATGTATCCAGCTAAAGAAGCATAAAATACTTCTAAAATTAAAAATAAAGCTTCTCATCTGCTGCTTGAAACCTAATCACTCTCTACTCAATGGTGAAATTGTCCCAAGCACTCAGCAAACCTGAGGTCTGGCTCTGAGCCTCTAACACAGAGATAACCAATCTCCCTTCTCCCAAAGTCTCATAGCACATCATCTCATCTTGTCAGGGTCTCTTTTCAGGGAGATCTTGTTCCTTTGCATTGACTTTTTTTCTGAAGTCAAAGGAAATACTGTAACCAGAGCTATTCAAAATCATCTCAGGGATCAGGAAACTTGAGAGTTGTCTTCTGAAGCACTGGCACCACACTAAAACTTCTCTCTTTACCCTCTGTACCCGAGTTTCCTGCTTCACCTTCACACACAGCAATGCCACGTGTTGCACATAAATCCAACAGAACCAAGCATTCATCTGTGTTTACATGTGCACAGACATAATCTTCCCATAGATGAAAATACTCTCCAGTAGAGAAAGCTGCAACAAAAATGGTGAACAACAAATGCTCTTCCCAGTGTTTAATGCATCATGTAACTCCACTTGGACTTCATGGCAGTCGAGCTGCTCTGTGAACCACATACATTACAGTAATAATCACAGACACCAGTAACAGCACATTTGCTTAACAGAAATCCAGGACTACACATAGCCTGCCCTATGTAAACATCTAGAAAATAACCTTCTTAGACATAACTAATGCTACCGATTGAAAATCTTCCTTTACTATGTGTTTTGCTCCCAACTTCAATGGCAAACACCATTTCCTGTGCTCTGCCTCACTGGAATACAGATCTGTTCAGGTTAATCGACATTCAATGCATGCACCTTAGCAATTGTAATTATTGATGAACATTGCAGAGGACTAATAAAGTTTTACTTGCAACTTCAGCTATCATGCTCAAAGCTGTAAAGTACACCCGATTATATTAAGCACCTTAACATGGCTACCTGATGGTCCGAAATTCCCAAGTAAATGACTACTGGTGACACCACTTCCCACTGTGTATGTTATGCAGGCTATTGGCTTAGCACTGTTGTAAATTTTCATCTCGTTTTTTTTTATAGCTGTAGGCTGTTAGACACCTACAAACATGCTTTTTAACTCTCAGATTTCCTCACTTCCAAGTGAGATAACAGCTGTTCCATAAAAATCACAGACCACAAAGGAAGAAACACAAAATGCTTTTCATTCTACTCCTGAACCCAGTGATCAGGTGTGAAGAGGTGTCTTGTTGCGTTGTCAGAAACACCTCAGCTTTTAGGATTCAGCTCTGTGAGGCTGGCGACCTCTGAATGAAGACACGGCTCATAATTCAGACACAGCACAAGAGTTCATGTGAAATCCAAGCTGAATTAACAAGCACAGGTAAAAAATCTGCCATTCCTCCAATCACAGGTCAATTTACCTTACAGAGATAAATCAAACCACAGTATTTACATGTTCAGAACAAGTCATGAAGAGGCACTGTTCCACCAACCTACAACCTGCAAATGAGGAACCTGATGATATTATATCTATAAAACTGACACCAATTGCTTATGATTGCTGTACATTCATGTTAACAGCTTCAAAATGTGGATCCACATCTCTGCCCTTTTCTTAAATCCATGGGATTAATCTATCCATATACCAATTCTAACCTGTTTCAGTTATTTTAGCATAGCCTTAGAATTATATTTGGCATCTCTATGTGGTACATACAATAACTACAAGCAACAGTAACCGTTTCTGCATTGAGGTCACCGGGTGTATCGACTGCTGTTGAGAAGTCGGGAGAGTGCAGAACACTGCCTGACTCAGAAAGTCAAGGGAAATGGGAAAAATATAACCCAGAAATTGTCGGAGCTCTCAGCTGCATTCGCGCTGTAGCGCTCGGATTTCAGCAGAGCCTGCCCTCTCCTAACCCCTCCTCACCTTCCCCTCCTCCCCGCCACACACGTACGGAAGCGCTAGAAACGATCCTTTGGTTTAACAAAAGCTTCTGCCCGTCCCTCTTTCTCTGCAAGGAACGAGACCTAATCCAACCAGCCTGTCCCATAGGAAAAGCTGTTATTGCGCGTGAGCCAGGAAGGCCAAGGAGATGATTGCCTCCCAGGCTGCCTACAGGGAAAGGCAGAAAACCTGAGCATCCCTTCTTCACAGCTGAGCGGGTAAAAAAGGATGGAGGAGACAATGAGGAAGAGCCCGGCTTCACACACACACACACACACACACACACACACACACACACACACAAACACACGCACCTCCTCCCGCAGTGTTACACGGCGCGGGGTAGATTTCGCCGTTTCGCTCCCTCGCCTTTGGAAGCCGGGCTCCGGCAGACAGCAGTCCCTCTGCCCCTGCAGCGGCGAGCCTCCCGCAGTCTGCCCCTTCCCTCCCCGCGGGCAGGGCGGCGGCAGCGCCTGGCTCCCCTCCGCCGTACTCACTGCTCCTTACCCGGCTGGGCACGGGCGCTCGGCAGCACGGCGGCGATCACCCCCAGCAGCACGACGGCCGCGGCCAGGCCCGCTCGGCCTCCCTCCGGTGGGGCGCGGTGGGGCAGCGCGGTGCCGGGCGCTCCGCGGGGTCCCGTGGGGCGCCCCCAGCTCCGCCGGCCGCCCGCCGCCCGCTGACACATCCCCGCGCCTCGCACGGCCCCACCGTGGCTCAGCGGGCAGCGCTGCCCATGGCCGCACCGGGCTCTAGAGCAGCGGCTGCGCAGGGAGGCGGCGGAGCAGTGGCGGGGGGCACCGCATGCTGCCGGCGGCTCTGCCCGGTGCCCCTCAGCGGCGGCGCGGCCCCTCCGGCTCCGGCGCGGGAGGGAGCTTCATCGACAAAGGGCTCACGTCGCCGCCAGTCCCGGCCCCGCTCCCCGCCCTCCGAGGGCGGGGAGCGGAGGCGGCGCTGCCGGGGCCGCGGGACCCCCTACACCGCTCCGCGGGGAGCACGGCGCCCGGCCCCGCTGACCCGCGGCCACCCCGCAGCTTGCGGTCGGGCAGGGGCAGGGGCAGGGGCAGGGCAGGGTGAGCAGGGCGCTGTCCAGCGCCGGCCTCAGCAGCCCGAGGACACGGGCCAAGGTGCTGCTCTGCGAGGCTGCGCGGGCTCGCTGAGTGCCATACCCTGATGGGCACCACGCGTTACTGAAACAACCATGCCCAGCATTGCTTTTTGGGTGTAAATGAAACTGCACCCACTCACAGTGCTCTTGCGAATAGAAGTCCCTCTCTGCTCACCTTGGAAACCATTTCTTGCTGGCTGATGTACATGCAAGGCTCCAGGCTAGGACATGTCCAGAAGTGGCTCTCGTTGCCTGAAGTGTCAGGGAGCACCTCTTCCTGTGGGGCAGCCCAAGCCCTGTAACTGCAAGAACAGCTCTGAGGATAGAGCAGCTGGAGCGTACAGCAAGAGTTGACGGCATTGGTAGCTACATCCTCAGCCACCCAGCATATAAACAGAGGAAAGGCCTTCTGCCACCCTGCTCCTGCGTTCACTTGCCTGGTCACTCCCTGCTGGCCCGTGATGATTCTCACACTTCCAGGCTGAGGGGGGAGCTCCAAATTACAGAGGCTTGCCTCTATGATGCTTAAAATGTTTGCTACAAGACCAACTGGTGCATAAAATTTAGTGTGGATGCCAGAGCAGGTGAGCCCCTTGCACTGTTTCCTTGATTTGTTTTAGTTCCCAGATTGTACCTGTGAGTAACAGAAGATGATGGTGGGAGGAGGAGCAAAGTGAAGGTGGGCTCAGGTCAGAATGAGCTTCAGGAGCATGAGAGCTAATTCTGAAAGGGTATAGCATTGCCCACATGCAGGAAAGTGGCCTGGGCCTTTCAGCCTTTCCAGCAAGAAAGAAGTCATCTTTCTCATAAATTGCTAGGAGTCAGGTTTGAGATGTAGCAAGCCTCAGCATCGGCTCACCCCAGTCTGGCATCCTGCTACCCAGTGACTTGCAGCATCCCCCAAGTCATGATGACCCATAATTATGTATTTTTCCAACTGGTTCAGCACACTCCAACTGTCACCAATGCAATTACTCCGCCACTGATATGTTCCATTTGTGCCATTTTACTCACTTTTCCCCCAAATTACTAATTCACTCTATGCAAAATTAGCTTCCACATGATGACTGCTAATGATTATCCATCCACAGAGAAAAGATGGCAGTTGTATGATCATTACAGTAAAATGGATAGATCACTGCTCACGCCGGTTTGTTTAGGGGAAAGGTATTTAGTGCAGAGCCCTCTGGTGGTACCGTTGGTTACCTTCAGGGAGCCCTGTGTAAACCTAGTTCATCATTTTCACATTTTTCTAGGTTTTGTCATAACAGATTGTCATAGAATCACAGAATCAATTAGGTCGGAAAAGACCTTTAAGATCATCAGATCCAACCACTACCCCAGCACTTCCAAGTGCACCACTAAACTGTATCACTGAGGGCCTCAGGTACAAGGTTTCTGGACACTTCCAGGGATGGTGATTCCACCACTTCCCTGGGCAGCCTGTTCCAATGCCTGATCACCCTTTTGGGGAAGAAATTGTTCCTGATACCCAATCTAAACCTCCCCTGGTGCAGTTTGAGGCCGTAACCCCTTGTGCTATCACCTGTTACTTGGGAGAAGAGACCAATCCCCACCTCACTCCATTGTCCTTTCATGTAGTTGTAGAGAGAAATAATGTCCCCCCTGAGCCTTCTCAAAGCTAAACACCCCAGTTCCCTCAGCCGTTCCTCATCAGACTGTGTTCCAGACCCTTTACCAGCTTTGGTGCCTTTCTCTAAACCTGCTCCAGCACCTCAGTGTCTTGTAGTGAAAGGCTGAGAACTGAATACAGGACTCGAGGTGCAGTCTCACCAGTGCCCAATACAGGGGCATGATCACTACCCTGGCCCTCCTGGCCACACTTTCTCATACAAGCCAGGACACTGCTGGCTTCCTTGGCTGCCTGGGCACAAGCTGGCTCATGTTCAGCTCCATCAGTCAGCAGCCCCAAGTCCTTTTCAATGAGCAGCTTTCCAGCCACTCTTCCCCAAGCCTGGAGCGTTGCATGGGTTGTTGTAGCCCAGGGGCAGGACCCGGCACTGAGCATTGTTGAACCTCATACAGTTGGCCTTGGCCCATCTGCCCGGCCCGTGCAGATCCCTCTGCAGAGCCTTCCTACCCTCCAGCAGATCAGCAGTCCTGCAAACGCAGGGAGGGCGCACTCGGCCCCGCCGCCCAGGTCACCAGTGCCGATACTGAACAGTCCATCCGTCCTGGCCAGCAGAGAGCACTTGGCTTGCTTCGCTCCCTGACGAGAGGCCGCCATCCCAGAGCCCCTTCCCGGTGACCGCGGGCTGAGCTCACCTCACCCGTACCGGGCCCTCCCTGCGCCAGCTACCGCGCCGCGCGCCCCGGGGCAGTGTTACCCGCTAGGGGTCGCTGCCGGCGCCGGGACAGCCCTGAGGGAGCCCGGGGCCGTGGCGCTGGGCCTTCGGGAGCCAACGCCAGCCCTGGACGCACTCACACACACCTCGGCACACCTCGGTCCGTGTGGCCTTGGTGGAAATGGTGAGTAAAAACCTAGATCTGGCACTGCTTGCCCGCAGTAGAGCTGCCACAACCGTCCTGAGTCTTGCCTTTATGAAGGAACCTATAAATGAGACTCACAAAGAGATGAGGGGGGACTAGAAGCAGCAATGCGCATCTAATCACCATTCCTAGAAGCATGCAAAACCCTTGTAGACGAGGGCCTCAGTGACATAGTTTAGTGGTAGACGTGGCAGTGATGGGGAATGGTTAGACTGGATGAACTTAAAGGTCTTTACCAACCTGGTTGATTCTGTGGTGCTCTGTGAAGCAGCAGTAGGCCATGGTCTGACAGAGTTAGAATTTCTTATTTTGATGAATAAACAGGCCAAGTTTATAAACACAGATAGGGAGGTGGGAAAGAGCATAGGGGACATTCAGAACAGAGTGCCGTTTCCAGGCACCCCTAGCAACAGGGTGTAGATGCTTCTAAGCTGCTTCTTCAGGATTTAAGGACAAGAATGCATTCAGATGTGTATTTCAGCCTCTCAAAATGAAGTTTCATCATTCTAACAAAGAATACTCAGTGCTGCTCCCCAAGACAGGGTCAGCTAAAGTTACATAAATCTGCTTAGAGCATGTACCCAATCTTCCCAAGATAAAATGAACCTTCTTACAGGTAAAAGGTAGGAAAATATCATTAACACTGAATACCACCAAACCTTATCCATGATTTCATGCACCTTCCTGCAGTCATTTCAGTCACTGTGTCATTCCATGTGGGAAGAGGTAGGAAGTGCTACAGCATTTCTCTGGTGCTGCACAGAGCTTTGCACCACACAAGACATGCACACCAAACATTACATATGTAACTTCCCTATGGGGAAGTTAGAGCTCTCAAAGCAGGGAGCAGTAGTATTGCACAGCCCCACCAAATCCTTGACTCACGCTGCCTCAATTCATGGCAGGAGCTGAACCACAGCTCACGAGTTGTGGCGATTAACATGAATAACTGTGATTGTCAGAACTGGGCTGCTTTGTGAGGGACACCAAACAGCAGCTTCTGCTGCTTCACAGAGACTGGTCATCTCTCCAGCTGACAGCCGAAGCTGATTCATTGAGAAAAGAGAGCACCATCCTGAACCCCTTTGTCCTGCTGTAAATCTGCAGCCCTGACAGCCCCATTGACTCCGAAAACTTTTTCTTGAATGAATCTGCTATCATAACTGCAGTATAAATTTGTCTTTTGCATTTCATGACAGCAAAAGCATTCACCAAAGTTTAAACCAGTGTTAGTCATCGTAAAGTCAGCTGAGACAAGATTACTTACAATTGTCTGCTTTAGTCCTATCCTTACACAGGATGGGAAAGAGCATAGGGGACATTCAGATATTATTACTAACAGGGAGAACAGAAAGGACTTCACAGGCAACATATTCCCTCACCAAAGCCAGAGTGTAAGGTACATCAAGTGTAATTTGCAATGGCCTGTTTACTAGGGGAAATGTGGGATACAGATACCAACATCAACATGCATTTAAAACCCCTTGATACATGAGACTGAGAAAAATGAAAAGGAAGCTGCTCCCATAGCAACAAAGGTGTCTGTAGAACGTGGACAGATGTGTTTTCATGCAGCCTAAGGTCCACTGCTTCAGGAAAAGCTCTGCAGACAGCATAACCAACCTGCATTGCTGAGCGAGCAAGCAGCTGTGAAAGATCAGCATCTGCAGCACCTTGTATTTAGCAAAGTAAAGATTTTTGTCTATTCTGAAGTATTCACGTATCAAAAGTACATTCCACTGTGACTTCATTTTACATTTCATTTATGACAGCACCTCATATACAATGTGAAGCACAGAAACCACGCAATGTCAGAAATACGCGTACCCCACAGCCTGCTCCATGACAGCTTCCAAACCACTAGATTTCAGTAAGCACTGTAAACCCATAGCAGAACAAGCACGTTTGGCCAGGAACGCTGCACCGGCAAACGTGCCTTCCACAGACATCTGATCCATACCAGGCCATGCAGAGACACCCACCGCCCAGGACCATCTGTGGCACTGGGGCACCCTCCTGCTGGCCACGTAGCAGTTGCCACAGGATTGGTATGACCTTTGGCAGCAGTGATGTGTCTGCTGGTATCTACACCAGACAACCTTTTTCTAAGGGTTATAAAAGTGGGACATCCAGGACAAAGACCTTTCAAGGTTTGTCTATGCTGTAGGCAGAATCTCAAGCTCCTCCTAATCAAGCCTTGAAAGTTAATAAAATTTAAGCTTTCTGAAAGAAGAGCAGCTCAGTCAGATGATTAGATCAGAATTTGAGAGCCCTCCCTGCGAATT